CAGTTACAGTTCACCTCTGTGATATTCAATCCGTCAAGTATAAAGCACACCTGCCTCTTGGGTACCACAGGGTGTGTGAGAGTGAAATACTGCATAGAAAACCACTTCCAGCCTGGGAGCCACTCAGTAAATAAATGGTTCATGACCCTTTTCTTCATGTAGTGGGTAGCCATGGCTGCCGAGATCAGCCCAGGGCGTCGGACAGTGTCTGTTGGGTGCCTGCTGCAAGGAGAAAAGCTTTGCTCTTTGAACTCTCCTTGGTGGCCTGGGTCAGTGGAATCTGTCTAACTGTCTAATTGTGGGAGGAGACACCCAAACAGGTAGGCAGGGGCCTTCCTTTGAATTTCCTAGATTTCTTGGGAAACGTGGTAAGCCCATCATACTTTCTGAGATGAAAATAGTTGGCTAGCTGAAAAACTCTCCAAAGTGGATGTCTGTGGACCCAAGCAGCACCCTAAGAATGGCTACACATGCCAATCAGGGAGCTCCATCCCCGGCCGACGGGATTGGAAATCTGTGTTGTAACAAGCCTTCCAGGGAATGCTACTACAAGCTAAAGGGGATAACCACTGCACAAACAGATGTGCTTCTCACAGTTCTTATTGTATTTGGGGGCAAGGGGAGTGGAATCAAGGCTTGGGTGCTGTCTCTGAGTGATTTAATAGCTCAAGGCTGGCACTCTACCACTTGAGCCACAGCTCCATTTCTAGCTTTTTGGTGGTTCATTTAGAGATCAGAGTCTCACAGACTTTCCTGCCCAGGTTGCCTTCCAACCACGATCCTCAGATCTCAGCCTCTTGAGTAGCGAGGATTATAGGCTTGAGCCATCAGCACCCGGCTCACGCACTTTTTGACAGCCTGCCTTTCTGCCACAAGCAGTCAGTAGCTGGCTACCTCCCTTCCCTTGCCCAGGCAGACACGCTGTCAGACCTGCACCTCCTCCTTGCAGGCACAGGTCTCTAGTAGGGTGAGGCCGTGCTTCGGAGAGTGTTTGCACACCGACTGGAGTTCTGACAATCTGACACGGACTGAAGTCCTTCCAAGCCGCCCTGTTAGGGAACAACCCCTTCAATAAAGGCCTGCGGCTATTTCGTGTTCATAAGCCAGTTTATGGTGTTCTAAATAACACAGTAAATTGTTCGGGGATGTGTACCCAGTCAGACTTCACCCAGGGCAGAATCACAGCCTTTACTTGGGAATAGCCAAGTGGAGGAGCATGCCTGTGGCCCTCCCGTGTCTGGGCTCATGGGACTGGGAAACGCTGGAGCGCCGGGTCTCCCTCACGCCCTTCTGTTTCTTGCCGTCTTGATTCAGTGACAAGCGTGGGAAATCCCCCGGGAGATGTTGAAGCTCTGACATTAAGAGTAAAGGGCTTAGACTGGCTCCACTGCGGCCTGGAAGCCATTCATGAGGAGCTAACTCACCCTCCTTCCTCAGCACAAGCGCGTGTCAGCCATGAGAGGGTGCTCTGTGATGTAAGCAGATGCTTGCGCATGGGGGCGTCCCAGGAAGGGAGTTCTTAAGTCATCCATTAAATGATGAGTTCCCTTAGAAGCACATGTTGGAGCGCATTCTTCACTGGAGGAATGAGTGGCAAAGACTAGGTAGAAATACGTTTCAGGTGGTGATCAGTAGGCTTGACTTCTGTTCAGGATAGAGAGACCTGTGCTGCGAGGAAGTGATCACTGCCTCTGTGGAGAGTCCAAGAATTTGGGCTTGGGGACAGAGCTCAGAATACTGTTAGGGTTTGGAAATAGCGCCCCCTCTCCCCCAGTGGCTATGTGCTAAGAGTTGGGTCAACAGTGTGCATCACAGTTGATGGGTGGTTGAACTCTTAGGAGGTGGAGCCTAATGGGAGGAAGTGAGGTCATGAGGTGGGGAGGGGGTGAGCCCTTGAGGGAGATATTGGGAATCCAGAGTCTCCCTCTCCTTCCTCCTCTTCTTCTCTCCATCTCTGTCTCCCTCCCTCCCTCTCTCCTTCCCTCCTCTCTTATCCCTCCCTCCCCCCCATTTCTCTCTGTGTCTGCCTTCTGGGCCACCAAGAGGTGAGCAGCGTTGCTCTGCCACCTGCTCCTTGCCTCTGTGATGTCGAGCTTTGTTACAAGCCCCAAATGACAGAGCCAAGAAACCATGCACTCAGAACCTGGGCAGCCATCTATCAACATCAGTCTGTCTCAGGGTTGTTTGTCCCAGCATCCGGGCACTCACATTTCTAAGCATCCATCGCCAGTTCTGTACCTGAGCCAGCTCTATCATTGCTGACGTGTCATGTTAGAATCCCCCTGCCCTCCAGTGTTGGGATGCATGCACCTTCTTCTGTCCCATCAGTGGATATGGACCCAGCCCAAGAAGGGCTAACTCCAGACCACTGAGAGAACTGAGAGGAGCAAGTCACTAGACTTGAACTGAAGCACTTTCAACACCGGTGCTGAGGGAAGCCTTTGGCTTTGAGAAGCCAGGGAGCAGATCTTCAGAGAGAGAGAATACAGCTGAGGTTAGGGGACCCTGGGACCAGAGAGATTGAGAAAGCAGGTCCTAGTCAGTTTATACCTCGGCTTCTACTTCCTCAAGGCTACTGGGTTCCTTGAGAAAACACACAGACACACACAGACACACACACAGACACACAGACACACACACACACAGACACACACACACACACAGACACACACACAGACACACACACAGACACACACACTCCTTGCCACCTATTTTTCTTCCTTGGGATAAGACATGGCTCCCAGAGCCTAGGGTTGGGTCTTATTTACATACAAACAATGCTGCTATACAACTTAAACTGGAAGGAAGTCCAGGGGCCACCTGATTATCTCAATGGGATGTGGCCAGGCTGCAAAGCTGTAGGATTATTCGACATTTAACAGTGCTCGTTGAACTTGAGGCCCACATGCTTCATCTCTGCTTTGGAGTAGTCCCCTCCGTCCTATGGTGGGTGCTCTAAGCCATTGTGTAATTTGCTCAGGAACCTAATGATGGGGCACCGGGGCATAGCAGGCTTGGCTCAAGGGGCTGCCTGAGAAGGGCCCTCAGAGGTGGCCACTCTGGGCAGTGAAGAGAGGGCTGGGAGTGCAATGAGCAGCCATCCAGAAGACGGTCAGGCAAGCTTCAATTCAGCCCTGTGTTTTAAAGCAACCTAGTGGTTAACCATCACATTAGCAATTAGCCCTGGTGCGCAGGACTACAATGGAAGGCGTAGAATGACAGCTGATCTCAGGTCATGGCATCTCCGCCACCTTTTGAGACACTGTCCCACTGCATAGCTCAGGCTGGACTAGAACTTGCTTGTGCTTCTCCCTCCCAAATTCTGGGATTATAGGCACAGACCACCATTCCAAGTTCAAATAGACCAAAGCTTTTTACAAGCAACCATTCTAACTTACAAGGCAAAACTCATTTCCTAAGACACAGAGACTGGACTTGCTTTCTGATACCTGGCCCACGTGAGGCGTACAGTACAGCACAGAGACTCTCCGACAAATTCCTGGAATGTCCTGCTCGTCCGACAGGGAGTTGCCAGTTCTAATGCCAAGCTAACTTCTGATGTGGGCTGTTATCTTTTCTTAGGCATGCAGGCAGTCTAGAAACTGCCTTCAAAACCCAGAACCATTCCTTCCTGTCCCAGGACGTGGCAGTCTGCCAGGTACCTGGAGGAAGGGCTGACAGCAGCCCAGCCTTCCTGCTAAGAGCCAGCAGTCTGTGAGGAGAGCTCTGTTTGTGATTGTTTGGGGATGTGATTTGCAGGACAATAGGCTCATGATGGTAACCGGTTCCCATCCCATCCTTGGTTAGGAAAGTGAAGGTAGGCTGTCTGTCTGTCTGTCTGTCTGTCTGTCTCTCTCTCTCTCTCTCTCTCTCTCTTTCAAAGTCCCTGTCATTGCAAGCCTTTTTCTTTTTCTTGGAGCTCAGTGCTAACACTCATGACTTGATCTCTGGAGATCAAAGGAGAGAATTTCGCAACTCTTCACCCCAGCATTCCCAGAACATGCATTCATACCCAAGGTCCCGTACAGGCAAAGGACTTAAAGCAGAGGGAATGGTGAACTGCGGAGGTGGAGCCCCTGTTGCTGTCTTTCCTGGCTTGGGACATGAGGGTCTTGATTCTCAAGAGCTGGTGATTCTGCTGCATGGAAGTTCTTGGAAGCCTTTTCCAGAATGTTCTCTGTGCTGCTGCCATTGGGAATGTTGGTTGTATTTATTTTTTTATGTTATAGTTGTTGTGTTATATGATAGTATGCCTTCTCTCTGGTCAGGTTTCTCTTGCCCTTGTTTTACATGTGGTTAGACGGTAGAATGCCTGCTTTCTTCTCTCAGGGTAGCTTACATGTTTGGTGCTTTCCCCAATGGTTAGAAATGAATGCAGGAGTATGCTCTAATAAACTGTCACCCTCAGGAATGTTAAAAGATGTGAGGAGGTCCTGGTGTGAATGACATTGTCCAGTGACACACATTGCACCCCACATCGGGTCTCTTTTGGGTGGATGTCAACTGCTGCCTGTCTCATGAGTGGCTCAAAACCTGGAGGGCTTTTACCGTAGGTGGAGGCTGAGATACCTAGGAGTTGGTGAGTGCCAGAGACAGCTTTTGACTGCGGTGCCCAGACAGGCGCTGACATATCCCTCAGCCAGGGAGGTGCCGCCCAGGAGACACACAGAAAATGGTAAAGCGACACTTGGAGAGGCTGCCGAGCGCACCTTACCTTCTGGCTTCACCTGCAGATTGGTTGAATTCTTCTTTTGCTGGGACACTTGCTGGCTCTCCCCCCCCCCCCCTCCAGAAGGGGAAAGCCTTCCTTTGGGGCTTACCTCTGCCTGAGCTGAGCCTCTCAGTGTATCGCAGGGGAGTTCGGCTCTTGAGCCTCATGAAGGGTCAGGGGACAGCGGAAGTGCCTGCCTCCTGCCTGCCCAACTTCTCCTCCAGAGGGGAAGTGGTGGCTGGCATCGTGGTGAATAATGGGTAAGTGCTGTCTCTGTTCCATCCCTCAGGTACACCAGTACTACAGCTGCCTCCCCGAAGAGAAAGTCCCCTATGTCAACAGTCCTGGAGAGAAGCTGCGAATCAAGCAGCTCCTACACCAGCTCCCGCCACATGACAATGAGGTAAGAGGCTGGAGGGGGGCTGAGATCATCAGAATCTTCTTTTTCATCATCAAGGCCATCATCAGTGAGATTGTGGAAAGCTCCCTCTGCTGATTTCTTTTTAGGGGGTTGCTTCCTTAATTAGAGCCTAAAGGAACTGACCAGCACTTGCTATATGCGTGTTGCCAAAATAGAAGCTTAATTCTGGCCTGGATGTGTCTCTGAGGCTGGCTATTTGTGGTCATCGGAGCTCTTCAGTTGTAAAAGCTTGCATTCTGGTGTTCTGACTTGACAAAGAATGCACCTGATGGCTGCCTGCCTGTGTTGGAAAGAAGACTGGGGCTCCTTGGGCCATTTCAGGCCCCGCAACAATGCAGTAGAATTGTCAGCATCATTTCATAGTCAATGAGTGGATACAAGTTTTGCACGCCAGGCTGCAGGAGTTAGATGTGCAGCTCTGTAACTTTCCACATCTGTAACTTTTTGTCACAGTGAAGCCTGGCTCTCATGAGAGTCCTCAGTTGTACTTTTCAAAGTTTGGCTGGTTCGCGGGCTGTCTTAGTGTCTGAAGCCAGAAGCACAGCCCTGAAGGCAGGTCCTTCTTACCCTTGAGTTCACATTGATCTCAAAGGGGAATTTGTAAACCTGCTTTTTAGAAGAGCATGCTGGGAGGGGTCAGGAGTGTATGCTGGCAATTAATTTTTAGGTATCTGGTTAAAAAAAAATAAGGAATTTTGTCAGATTGAACTCTTTAACTCTGACTGCAGTTAAAATAAAAGTGCAGCCCGGTGCTCATGGCTTACTCCTGGAAGCCTAATTACTTGAGAGGTTGGAATCTGAGGCTCAAGGTTTGCAGCCAGAATGGACAGGAAAGTCTGTGAGATGCTGATCTCCAATTAACCTGCAAAAACATTGTAATCGGAGCTGTGGCTCAAGCAGTATAATTCTAGCCTTGAGTGAATAGCTACGGTGCAGTGTCCAGGCTCTGAGTTCAAGACTGTACTGGCACACCAAAAAAATTTTTTAATGGAATGGGAAAATAATCCACCTTTAAAGAGCTGAACACCAGCTTCCTCCACCCATAGGCTGGATCCCAATAAAACGAGTGAGTGCTACGTAGAATGTCTTCCCACATTTGAATAAAAAGTGATAATATAAAAGCCTGAAAAATAAATTTGAGGGGCTGGGAGTGTAGCTCAGTTGTAGAGTACTTACCTAGCATGCACAGGACCTGAGGTTAGATCCCCAGCACTGAAAAAAAGAAGAATGAATATGAGTAATCAAGGTCGAAGCTTATACAATTATAAAAATGGAAACAACTCCGTAGAAAGAGAGCTCTTTCCTGTTGCTTGTTTCTGACATCATTAAACAAATGTAAATAATGTTTTCTCTTTTCAAGCTAAGGGCAGGCATTATAACCTGATGCCTGGTTCACTAATTTGGAAGTAAAAAATGGAGCTTTATGTCTTCAAAAGCAGGCCCATAAAATACCATTGGGGGAACCTTGTGTTCCCTTTCTGGAACATTCCCATGGAGATTTCTTTCCTTTTTCTTTTCCTTAAACACACACACACACACACACACACACACACACACACACACACACACACACACACACACACTCTGTTTACTTGAGGAAGGGATGTATGAACTGTTCTTTTGTGCTTTTAGTGATTTGTTTTATATTAATGCTCTTTTGATAAACCTTTATTCAGATTATTACCCAGTGGGCTGAACCAGCCTATTTGGCATGGCTCTTTTTGAAGATAAAGGATAATGATGTTCAAGCATATATGTTTTTCATTTTTTTTTTTTGTCCCAGATAAGACCATTTTGGTAGATACAGTTGCCCTGGTTTCCAAACTAGGATATTAGGTTTTCTTGTAGCCAGCTTTGTGATGATCGGTCATCTGGGTAACACCATTGGCCTTTCTCATGTCCAGTTAACTCCTGAGTAAGATAAGACGAAGGGTGGAGGTGGATTTAGACCCGTGTGCTGGGATGAGAACATGGCGGTAAATAGTTCTCACCGATAACAGGGTTACTCCTGTTGAAGCTGCGTTGCATTCCTGGGGGAGGGAAAGTTTCAGTCTGGTGCTAGCAGGTGTCTCTTGGCTCTCTAACACATCCCAGCCTTCACGTGTAGGAGCATCAGCATCCCCTGAGAGCAAAGTGGCCACCTTCCACTGGATTCCTGGTGGTATTTGAGCCATGTAGTTTTGGTCTGTAATTTCAAGATCCCCTTCTAATTATTACAGGTGATTGTTTACTTGTAGGCATGATATACTTTCTTCTTCTTAAATATATTTTGAGGTTTTTTTGTGAACGTGAAATACTTTTAAAACCAGCATTCCTAAATAATAGTTCAGGACTAGCCCAAATGCCCGGGTGTACAGAAGTACCTGGTATCCAGGTAAACCTGCAAGGCCTCCCCACAGGATCACCGCTGCATGGAGACCAGCATCTAGGCTCCACCCATTCTTTGCCACCACTGATTTACGTGGACACACACAGGTGTGGAAGGAAGAGAACCAGCACCTGAGCCACCCCTGGTGACTTGGGTCTGGGTATGGTACATAGGACAGTGGGCTAGTTCCAGAACCTTCAATCTGGCCAAGACTTGAGCTCCAGCGTTCAGAGACTTCAGTAAGTGGTGTGCATTAGCACCATGGTCAGAGGAGACTCACCGAAGTCGCTTCATGCCTGGGGTAGACAAATGCCAGGCAAGGGCTATGCAACCAAGATGGAGAAAACGTGTGGGCTTCACGACCCTCTATTCCCCATTGTTTGTGTGTTCAGGTTCGATATTGCAACTCCCTGGACGAGGAAGAGAAGCGGGAGCTGAAGCTGTTCAGCAGCCAGAGGAAACGAGAGAATTTGGGCCGTGGGAATGTCAGGCCTTTCCCTGTCACCATGACAGGGGCCATCTGTGAGCAGGTGAGGATGGATGGGGTGGGTGGAGGCATTGCTGGACATGCTCTCATTCATCCCTCAGTTATGTATTAAGTACCTGCTGTATGCCTGGCTCCTGTCTAGGCCTTGGAGATGCAGCAATGAGCAAAGGAGAGGAGAGCTTACTCTCGAGGAGCTACGAGGTGGGGGGTGGGGGGAGAGAAGCAGACAATAAATTGAATCAAATAGAAAAATAATATAAACCGGGCACGGTGGCTCACTCCTATAACCCTAGCTACCTAGGCATCTGTGATTCTGCCTTGTTTCTTTCTGAGAAGAAATGTTTGAAAATGAGATGGTAGGGGAAACTGAGAAGAGATGAAAAAGCCTGCCCGAAAGGCAGAGGGAAATGAAAGAAGAGCTTTAAAGGTAGACAGGGTTTGTTTTGTGGTCAGTCCTCCTTTGGTCCACTAAACCCGGCCCCACTAAACTCGCCCTCTCTTTGGGGCCTGCCCCTCCCCAGCCTGGTGTTAAGCTTGGCATTGCATCAGCGTGCAGTGTGGAGTGTCTAGGAGAGGGTGAGCCTCCCTGCCCTCACCCCCACCCCCAGCCGCTCGGCCTCCTGCCTGCCAGGCTCCTATGTGCAGTTATGCAGACCTCCTTCTGCCCCACCTTCCTCTCTTCTTGGTTATCTTATGTAGGAGGAGGGGCAGGGGAAACGCTGCCCTGCCTGGAACACAGAGCAGATTGCATGGTGGCTGGCACAGAAATCACTTCTGCACAGCATGGAGGGATGCTGTCGGTCATGGCGCTGATGCTTGTTTTCCTCACAGTGCGGAGGGCAGATTAATGGTGGAGACATCGCCGTGTTTGCCTCGAGAGCCGGCCATGGTGTCTGCTGGCACCCGCCCTGCTTCATCTGCACTGTCTGCAATGAGCTGCTGGTGGACTTGATCTACTTTTACCAGGATGGGAAGATCTACTGCGGCCGGCACCACGCCGAGTGCCTGAAGCCCCGCTGTGCAGCCTGTGATGAGGTCAGACTCCCTCGAGGCCCCAGCCCCCCCCCCTACCCCCGTTATTCCAGAGCCTGGCCTCTGTAAATTAAAAAACAAATAATCATTGATACACAGTGAAACGCTTTAGATCAAAGCCCAAAGCCTGGGCCTCATCATCCAGAACCAAGTACCTCTATGCAAACCTCCACAGCCCTGGTTGGCTAGAGACAATAGTGGATGGGGCATAATTTGATTGTCTTGCTGTTTTCAAAAGTTTGGAGGGAAAATGCAGGGGGATACTCCTGGATATTCCATCCATCTGTCTCTGCCTCTTGCTCTAGAAGGTGTTTCCATGTGCAATGTCCGCTAAAACAGAAGAGAATGCTGGACCTCTTCCTGATATCCCCCAAGGCTAAGATTTACACCTCGATATTCTTCTAAGATTTTTATCTTTTTTTTTTTCAGGTTTTTAAATTTTGAAAAACCAAAATGTTTTTAAGTAGCTGCACAGCGTGGTTTTAACTTAACATGTCAGTGTAGGAGTACAATGCATCTTTTTTTTTTTTTTTGGGGGGGGGGGGGGTCTGGTCGTGGGGCCTGAACTCTGGGCCTGGGCGCTGTCCCTCAGCTCTTCAGCTCAAGGCTAGCGCTCTACCACTTGAGCCACAGCACCACTTCCAGCTTTTTTCTTTTTGCTTATGTGGTGCTGAGGAATCGAACCCAGGGCCTCAAGCATGCAAGACAAGCACTCTACCACTGAGCCACCTTCCCAGCCCAGTACAATGCATCTTGATCAGCATCTTCCCTTCAGTCTCCCCCCCCCACTCCTAATTTATCCCTACCTCACCTACCCCCTCAAGTTACCTGGTTCCATCTTTACCTAGGAACGTGGAGCATTATGACAATAGTCACCAGTTCCTCCTCTTTCCTTTTGTCTACCTACCCTCACTTCAGTTAGGTTTTTATAGATGGTGGAGGTAGGGAGTCAGAGTGATTTGTTGTTTTTTTTCTGATAAGGGGTTTTGAATTCTTGGTCAGGGGCAATCTACCACTTGAGCCACACCTCAGTCTGTGTTTTTACTTGGAGATGTAATCTAGTAGACTCTTCAGCCCAGGCTAGCTTCAGACTACTATTCCCTGGATCTAACTTTCTGAACAAATAATATTATAGGCATGAGCTGCTGATACCTGGCTCCAAATTGATTCTTTTTTGGGGGGAGGCATCCAGTCATGGAGCCTGAACTCTGGGCCTAGGTGCTGTCCCTCAGCTCTTCAGCTCAAGGCTAGCGCTCTACCACTTGAGCCATAGTGCCTCTTCTGGCTTTTTTCTTTTTGCTTACGTGGTGCTGAGGAATCGAACCCAGGGCTTCATGCATGCAAGACAAGCGCTCTACCAGTGAGCCACGTTCCCAGCCCCCCAAATTGATTCTTTTTACATGAGACTTCCTTTTGTCCCAGCCCCATTTGTTTTAGACTATTTTCCCCTGGATTGTATGCTGCACTCTTCTTGATAATCAGTGGATTGTTATGAATGGATTTAGTCCTAGGCTATGAATTCTGTTGTTAAGACTATACCTCAGTCCTTATCTATACCCCATTACCACACCACACTGATTATTATAGCTTTGTACTGTGTTTTGAAATCTGTGCCTTAAAGTTGAAAACAACTCTATATATTAGAAGTTGAAACATGAACACTTGTGAGCGCCAGATAGCACTATAAATGAGCATGACTCATTGTGAGACACGGGGGAGGGGTGTAGAATATAATCATGGGAGTAAGAGTGGACATGGTGACTCCTTCTTTTGCTTGGTATTATCATGTATGGACCATACACTGTGTTCTAAAGGAAAAGCTAGCGCTTCAGGTGTTGATAAGACATTTCCCACTTTAGAAAATACTGAGTCCAGTGTGCACGTGACCTGTCTCTCCCTTGTCCTGCTTTCTAGTTTGTAGAGTTCTCTTTCTCTTATTTAAATGTAGCTGAGCTCCTCCCTGGTGCCATCTTTAATTTGTTTCAGGCAGGTGCAAACATCAGAGCTACCGTAGCAGTAAAATAAACATCTACATACAGGCTTTTGCTTCAGCACTGTGGGCAAGACTTGCTTTTTTTGCTTCTAGTTTAGGGTAGTTTTCCCTCCTTTGAGGTGTGTCTACGGTAGCCTGCTTTCAGACACTCACCACCTGGCTTCCTCTCTACAGATCATCTTTGCTGACGAGTGTACTGAGGCTGAGGGGCGACACTGGCACATGAAACACTTCTGCTGCTTCGAGTGCGAGACCGTGCTGGGCGGCCAGCGCTACATCATGAAGGAGGGGCGGCCCTACTGTTGCCACTGCTTCGAGTCCTTGTATGCAGAATATTGTGACACCTGTGCTCAACATATAGGTGAGTGCTTGGTACTCTCAGCTCCGTTTTCTGGGATTGGATCTCCCCTAGAATCTCTTTGGTTGCATGTAATAAAAGCCCAACTCTTACTTGCTTAAGTAACAAAAGGGAATTTCCTTGATTCATGTTAACTGGAAAGATCATGGAGACTGTTAGCTTCAGGTAAGGATGGATCAAGGGTTCTAACAAAGTCTTTTATTTTCTATATCCCTGCTCAGCTTACTGCATTCGGGAGCAAGCTGTCTTCACAGGACCCCTCTTCCCCACTAATTATCAATTTTAAATACTTGGATTGTCACACGGAGAGGTCCACAGTGTCGCTTCCAGTTTCGGATCTTATCTTATTTATCAGTCCTCTTTGCTGAGTTCTGTCCTCCTCCATAAGAATAGGTGATACACCTTCCCTCTCCCTTTCCCACCCTGCTTGGACAAAATCAAATCAGCAGAGGAAAGAAGCAGTTGACTCTTTTGATAGATTTGAAACCATCAACAAAAGCCAGTATATCCAGGCCCTGGTGGCTCACACCTATAATCCTGGCTGCTCACAAGGCTGAGATCTGAAGATCACACTTAGTTGGATCTCAGTTAACCAGTAAAAAGCAGAAGCAGAGGCATGGCTCAGGTGGTAGAGTACCATCCTTGAGTGAAAAAGCCAAGTGAGAGCAACTTGAATTCAAACCTCAGTCCTGGTACCAGAAAAACAAAAACAAACGCCAACATAGATCTATTCAGAGTAAGAGACATTGCTCATAAGCTCTGAGCTTCCCAATAAGTGGCAAACCCAAGATGGTAGAAATCATTTCACCTTTGCAAGTAAGAGAGTTGTTCCACCCTTGAACAGTGGGACCCTTGTCTTTTCTGAAGCTTACCTGTTCCTAGACCATCTGGATGTGAACTTGACCTATTTGGGAGCCCATTGTTGTCCTGCTTCAAAGGTTTTGGTGGTAGATTCAGATGAAAGCTTAGCTCTTTAGAGAGCGCTATGTGCTGGTCTAAGCCCAGTGGTGCAGACCCCTCTTAGGTGCTCCTAGGTGACTTGTCCCTGAACCTTCTTCTCCTGTGGTGGGCCTACACCCTTACACCCACGTCCCTTGAGGTCTGTGCCTAGGAGTCAGACCCGCTGTCAGTACCTTTTGTCTGGCTATACTTTGCTTCCTGCCCTTGGGTGATAGCAAGTCCTCTTTCTCCAAACATCTTCCCCTCTCCTTCCAACCTAGGGGTGCCCCCACCATGTGTCCAGGAAGCTAGCTGTCTCGGAGAGTAGAACGGTCAGACACGCAGACTTGGGGGCTGTGAGCTAGGAATAGGGACCTGCACTGCACAGGTGTCTGGACACCTGGAGCACGAAGGAGCTATGGTGTCAGGGTGCTGGAGCTGTGCATTGATCCCCGGCTGCTCACATGGGTTCAAGTGAGCACTTAATGGCTGAGAGGAGCTGTACATCCCCTCCCACGGAGGCTGAACGAGCTTCTTCACATACTACCGTGTAGAATGTTCACCCTGCAGCTTTGGAGAGAGAAAAATCTGTCACTCAGTCACATGCCCCCAGGAAGGCCCCTCTGCTCTGCTCTTTCCTTTCTGCCTCCTTTCCGCTATCCAGGGCTTTCAGCGGAATTCTCCCTTGCCTGCCTCTTAAATCCACTTTAAAAAATAAAAGGCATCCATGTTTTGCTAGCAAAGGGACCGTTGTAACCTGAAGTACTGTGGGCTGTTCTTGTTGAATTGCTGCCTGTGATGTTTCTTTGTAAATCCACTTTTCTGCAAAACATAATTTTCCTGCCACAGCAAGAGTCTGCTCTGTATCTCAGGCACACTTCAGTCGCTGGGTGCCGCACCTCCAACCACACTGTACAAACATTCCATATTTATCCAGCCGCTCAGTGCAGACCCTGCATCAGGCAGCCGTCTCCAGGGCAACGGGACACTTGCCGGCATGCAGCAAAGTAAACAGTCCTGTAAACAGAGTGAGGCTGAAGAGGCAGCAGACTGACAGACACCCTTGGAGAACTCCGAGGGCTTCAGAGAGGGAAGAGAGGACGGCTCGTTCAGCTCAGATGTTGAGCGTAGAGCCCTTTTCCAGATGTCCCAAGTTCAGGAGCAGTTCAGAGCACGGGCTGACATGGTTGATGTTTATCGGAACCATGATCCGCTGCCTGCCGGGGGCCACATTATAACATTCCTCCCCCTTCTTCCCTCTACCCCCGGTCAGCCCTCTCCCTGGAATTGTCCCTTGAGCAGCCTGAGCTGTTTGTTTCCTTGCAGGAGTTGGGGGGGGGGGGAAGCGGGAAGGAGGAGGGGTCAGGCTAAGGACCTCACTTCCCTGCTCTAGGGTGCCAGCAAGGCTGAGGCTGCATGGGAAGTGTGCTGAGCAGCTGCGTGCAGTCAGGGACTCAGGGACCCACGGGCAGCCTGCGCCCAGATCTCAGATCTCTTAGCACATGGCAGAGGAAGTGGAAAGTTGCAGAGGGAAGGCTGTGCAGCCTCAGTGCTCACTCTTAGAGGACATCGGGGCAGTGACCCTTCACGGGCAGGGAGATTCTAGCCTAATACGGCAAAGGAAGAATAGCTGAGACTAATCACCAGCAGCCCAGGGCAAAGCTGGCTGCTTGCACACTCAGTTAATCCTCACACGAATTCTATAAAGGAAGGATGGTTATCTTCCACATGGCACTGCTGGGGAGACCAAGGCATGGAGAGATGAAGCCACTTCCTTAAGATCACACATCTAGAAAGTGGCAGAGCTAAGACCCGAACATCTTCCCAGAAAGGGGTGGAGGAAGGATTCGTTTCCTCTTCGATATGGTACAGAATGGTACATTCCTGGGCCTCCTGCCCCCTCCTCAGAAGGTGGTGTCCATGGACTGTTAACTCTCTTTGTGGTTCTCACCCGCCGCCGCCCGCTTCCCCACACTGTTCCTGGGAACCCTAGGTACACAGGTCCTGGGAACTGATCTGCGATCCTGCAGTGCCCTCGTAGCCATTCCCTCTTGGTCCTTAGGGCCACACTTCTGTACCATGACATTTTTGGTGAGGGGGTTCATCCATTCAGTATAGGAATGAGTGCATCATGGCCTGTTGGGCATCAGGCCATGTTCCAGGTCCTGGAGATGCTGCAGAAACTTCCAGCTGTGTCCTCATAAAGCGTCCCTTTTAGAGAGACAGAGAGAGAGAGAGAGAGAGAGAGAGAGAGAGATGGAGATGGAGACAGAGACAGACAGAGACAGACAGAGACAGAGAGAGAAGAAAGAACACACCAGTGTATGCGTATGCTACTGGTATGATGTCACCCAGTACTGATGCTATAAAGAAAAGCACAGTGCCAGGTGCAGTGGTTAAACGGTAGCCCCAGCTACTCAGGAGGAAGAGACAAAAGGTATCACAGTCTATAACCAGCCCTGGGCAAAGTTAGTACAAGACCCAATCTGAAGTGATGGACAGGAGCGATGGCTTAAGTAGTACAACATTACCCAGCAAGCACAGGGTCTCGAATGCAATCCCTAGTTCTGGAGGTGGGGGTAGGAGGGAAGGGAGGAATTTAGCAGATGAGAATGGAGAGCAGCCAAGGCCCCTATTAGGGCAGACAAGATTTCTCCAGGGAGTTGGCCTACAAGCATTGTGCTACTCAGTTTTCACCACTGTGACAAATACCTGAGAGGAACATCTTAAAGGAGGAAAGATTTGTTTTGGCTCATAATTTCAGAGGTTCCATTGTTTCTGGGCCAGTGGTAAAGCAAGGAGTCATGGTGGAAGGGTATGATGGAACAGACCTTGCTCACCTTATGGCAGACAGGAAGCAGATGGAAGGGGATGGGTGAGTCATGACCCATGTGAGACCCACCCTCAGAGGCCCCCTCCTCCAGTGACTGCTTCTTCCAACCAGGGCCCAGTTCTACAGTTCTACCACCTCCTTGTACTCAATTCGTATTTTGACTCTATCAGTAGATTCATCAATGAAGGCAGAGAGCTTTATCACTAATTCAATTACAAAGGAAAACCTGCACTTCTGAACACTGCTCTTATCAGGGACCAAGCCTTCAATACACCCATGTTTAGGGGAGCAGCTCATAAATAACCACACTGAGCAAACACAGAATAGAGTGAAGGTGATAGGATTAATATGGTACTTAGGGGCAGGATTTCTGGATACAAATTGTATCTCTGATTCCTGGCTATCCTCCCTTAGGCAAGTTGCTTAACTCCATGTGTCTTTTATTTTCTTCAGCTGAAAAAGGAGAAATAATCCTAGATTCTACCTCAAACAGTTGTGTGAACAAATGGTGTAGATAAACACGCAAACCAGTGCTTTATCATGTTAATGTTGTTATAAGTTGAGTATCCCTATCCAAATGTTAGGGATTTCTTTGTGAGATTTTGGAATATTTGTATATCCATGAGATAGTTTGGGAATGGGATGCAAGTCCAAACAGAATTTCCTATGCATATAGCCTGAAGATTTGCATGAAGCAGTTTTTTTTCACATAAGAGTATTCATTGGTTTATTCATTTACTCATTTGTTTATTTTGTCTTTTTAGGGTTTTTTTTTTTTTTGCTTTTAATTTTTTTTTGTTTATGCTGTACTGAGGAATCGAACCCAGGGCCTCAGCCATGCTAGGCAAGCACCCTACCACTAAGCCACATTCCCAGCCTGTAAAATTTTATTATATGGAATTTTCTGTGTGTGGTGTCATGTTGACACTCAAAGTGGTAGCACTTGGGGCATTTTGCTTATTCAGTCTTTGGATTAGGTCTTCTCCACCCCTATTACTGTTGGCAGCATTCTTGAACTGGATGTATTGGGTACGAGTGAATTAGAAGGAACTGACTGGGAGGTTAAGTTGAAATAGCACGTGAGCACCATTTATGTGGGAGCCTGATCATTGATTGATTGACACATCATTCATCTTGTCATTCTGAGCCACACCAAGATGTTGTGCTTTACATGGCAGTGCAGGACTCTGAGCGGCTCCTCAGCCTCTCCTCTGTCTTGTTTCTCTAGGGATCGACCAAGGTCAGATGACCTATGATGGCCAACACTGGCATGCCACTGAGACCTGTTTCTGCTGTGCTCACTGCAAGAAGTCTCTCCTGGGGAGGCCATTCCTTCCAAAGCAAGGCCAGATCTTCTGCTCCCGGGCCTGCAGTGCCGGAGAGGACCCCAATGGTTCTGACTCTTCCGACTCGGCCTTCCAGAATGCCAGGGCCAAGGAATCCAGACGCAGTGCCAAAATCGGCAAGAACAAGGGCAAGACCGAGGAGGCCATGCTGAACCAGCACAGCCAGCTGCAGGTGAGTTCCAACCGCCTGTCTGCCGACGTGGACCCCCTGTCACTACAAATGGACCTGCTCAGCCTGTCCAGCCAGACGCCCAGCCTCAACCGAGACCCCATTTGGAGGAGCAGGGATGAACCCTACCATTATGGGAACAAGATGGAACAAAACCAGGCCCAGAGTCCCCTGCAGCTCCTCAGCCAGTGCAACATCAGAACTTCCTACAGTGCTGGCGGGCAGGGCGCCGGGGCTCAGCCCGACATGTGGGCCAAGCACTTCAGCGGCAACCCCAAGAGGAGCTCGTCACTGGCCATGAAGGGACACGGGGGCAGCTTCATCAAGGAATGCCGAGAGGACTACTACCCCGGGAGGCTGAGGTCCCAGGAGAGCTACAGCGACATGTCTAATCAGAGCTTCAGCGAAACTCGAGGCAGCATCCCAGTGCCCAAGTATGAGGAAGAGGAAGAGGAGGAGGAGGAGGAGGAGGAGGAAGGGGGCCTAACCGCTCAGCAGTGTCGGACCCGTCATCCCATCAGCTCCTTGAAGTACACAGAGGACATGACACCCACAGAGCAGACCCCTAGAGGCTCCATGGAATCCCTGGCCCTGTCGAACACAACAGGTAGGTCCTGGTCACCTCTAGGTGATGCCATGGTCCTCAGGATCTTAGTGTTGTCCGTGCTGTGTGTCCCCTCCTCCGGCAGGCTGTAGAGCAAGGTCAACCTGGGTCTCAGATGGCTTCTGTCTTTGATGGGATTCCCTGTCAGAGGAGCTTATACTGTATGGAGCAGATGGAGGTGGGAGAAGGGGAGGCAGAAAAGCAGGACCAGACCAGACTGGAGGCGGAGTCAAGTGAGGGACATGTCCAGTCTGGAGTCTGGCTTTTGCCAGTCCCACGGGGGCTCTGGATGCTGAATTGCAGCATAGTCTGTTCCCTCTTGTGACAAAGGTGCTACCACCATGTCGGTCCACCTTTGGCGTTGAGCTGCTGCAGAGTGACGAGGATGAGGTCGTGGATATGCGTGTGAGCCAGACAACTCGCCCTGGCCAAAGACGTCAGTCGGGAGAAGGGGCAGCTGTAAGGCAAAGGCAGTATTTGAAGTTCCTGGAGCCAGCCAGCTGTGGCTTGGGATACTCCAGCATCCAAGTTTGTCCTGTACTCTGATGTCAGGGTTCTCTCTCTTTTTTTTTTTTTGGTTGGTCGTGGGGCTTGAACTCTGGGCTTGGGTGATGTCCCTATGCTCTTCAGCTCAAGGTGAGTAGTACTCTACCACTTGAGCCACAGCTCCCCTTCTGGTTTTCTAGTGGTTTCATGGAGTTTCATGGAGTTTCTTGCCCGGGCTGGCTTTGAACCACGATCCTCAGATCTCAGCCTCCTGAGTAGCTAGGATTATAGGCGTGAGCCACCGGGACCCAGCAGGGATCTCATTTTAATGTGCAAGTAAAGATTAGAAATCTATAGAAGGAGCAGATGTAGAAGGCCAGCAGGCTGAGGAGACTACAAGTAGATAGTCACATGCATGTCATCACCAGCATAGTTGGTCACAAATGTGACCACAGTAGTGAAGACTAGATGTGAACAAGATGGCCCCCATGAGGTATAGCCATTGCTATGACATCCAGGAGCACGTTCGGTGGGGTCGTCTTCAGCAAGGTATACAGGCCAGACTCTGTGTGGTAGAATTGTGTGTACCATGTGTCATCACGCTCTGGGGGCCGTGTATCCATCCACAGTGGACTGAAAATAACAAGTTGATCTTTCAACACCAATAGTTTGAGAAGAGTGCTCTAAAATGCTCTGAGCATGTTTGTCCTTTTAAGGGAAGGTGCCAGACACATTCTCCCTTACTGCAGGCATCTGACCTTCAAGAAGGCAGTAGATATTAGGATCAACTTGAGTGCCAGCCCCACCTGAGGGGCAGCCATTGCTCAGCTCCAGCTACCTGTTCCCCGTGCAGGGATATTTAAATGTTCCCTCTTCTTCCTCCCTCCTCTTCCTTTTACTCCTCCTCCTCCTCCTTCTTTTGAAACTGTCCTGGGGATTATTGAATTCAGGTTCTCAAGCTTCTTTGGTAAGAGCTCTACCAGTTGAGCCATGCCCCCAGTTTTTTTTTTTTTTGCTTTTACTTTGCTTATCGGATGGGGTCTTGTACTTTTTCCCAGATTGGCTTCATACTGTGATCCTTCCTGCCTCTGCCTCTTGTATAGCTGGGAATATAGGCATGATTGTCTACGCCCATCTCTCTCTCTCTTTTTTTTTTTTTTTTTGGTCGGTCATGGGGCTTGAACTCTGGGCTTGGGCGCTGTCCCTCAGCTCTTCAGCTCAAGGTGAGCACTCTACCACTTGAGCCATAGCACCACTTCCAGTTTTCAAGTGGTTTATTGGAGATAAGAGTCTCACGAACTTTCCTTGCCTGGGCTAGTTTTGAACCGAGATCCTCAGATCTCAGCCTCCTCAGTAGCTAAGATTACAGGCGTGAGCCACCAGCGCCCGGCAACGCCCGTCTCTTTGACATAGGATCTTGGCAACTTTACCTAGGTAAACCTTAAACAAAGATCTTCCTGACTCTATCTTTCCAATAGCTGGAATTACAGGTTTGCACCACCATACCTATTCTGGATATTAATTTTTTTCAACTAACACACAGCTTTTACCACATTATCAAACATGGTTTGGAGCAGTTCCACAATTATTAGCTTGCTTAATTGTCACAGTACTGTAAGGGAAGTAGACTATTGTCATTCCTGCTTTAGAGTTGATGACACTGAGAAATAAACAGTGAAATCGGAGGCAGTATTCCAGTGCCCAAGTATGAGGAGGAGGAGGAGGAGGAGGAGGACAGTGAGGAGGAAGAAGAGGAGGAGGAGGAGGTGAAAAAAGAGGAAGGAGACCTTCCTCAAGTCAGAGAGATTGCCCAAAGTCACCCAAGTTTTAGGGGGTGGAACAAGGATTTGAACCTTTGCTTATGACCACAGACCCATGCTTATATTTAATTACATCAGTCTGCCAACCTAATATGACCCCTGCCTTGGCTAATATTATAGTTTTTCCAGAACACTTAAAAATATGCATTTTTTTAAAAGATGTGGAATCAATTTACATTTCGACTAGACAAACGAAAGGTGTCTCTGGGCCCCAGGATGCTGTCACGTCTGTGTCTGTCCTCTTGTCCCAGAGGACAAGGGTACAATATCCTCACTCCCATGTTTCAGATTTAAAAAAAAAAAACAACCAGAGTTGTGGTGACAAAGCATCTTTCCTAACATCACAGAAGTGAGCAATTAATGGAGAGTGATGGCTGCCTGGCTTCCAGCCCGGGCTCTGTTTTTCTCCCAAGATTTATGTGCTATAATTATATAAGAGGCCGGCAGGTAACTATGTCCGTCAGCTCTGAGACTGAGCTTCTCACAGCTAGATCGCCTGTGTTAGCATCATCCATTGCAGTACTCATCGATTAAAATATGGCTGCCCCTCCCCATGTAGATTCCCAACAGCAGAAATCCACAGAGGCAGGGCCTGGGAATCTGCATTTTAAATGGCCTCCCACAGATGCGGTAGACAGACATTGCTGGGATAGTCAGTCAGTCAGTGGGTTGTAACTCTCATGGCCTTACATGAACTTACCTTAGAAGGGAATGTGGAGGGGTGGGGTGGGGGGGAGGAACGGGTCTCAAATCAGGAATGTGAAAAGGGTAAGAAAGAACACAAAATCTACTCATACAGAAAAGATCGTGGAATGTTTGATTCATGATTCCCTGTAGGTCCCTGAACAAAGCTCCTCATGACCCTTCACCTTTGGGTTTTAAAAAGCAGCCTGACTCCTAGCTGATAAGACCAAGGGAGGATAAAAACAAACCTGAAGTCAGTGCTGTCTGCAACATGCAGCTGTCGAAATGGAATGAATTACAATTAGGTGAAACAAACATTTAAGGCTCTCTGGTGGACTAGCCACATTTCACAAAGAGCAATGGGATGACATTTAAGATTCATTTCATCTTCAGGGCTAATGGCAGCCTTGTTGGACAGCGTTGAAGACCACAGTGAGCTCATGGGGCTCCAGTCCTCTCACTGGTCTCTTTGGGAGATCTAAGCTCTCAGTGGATGGTTAGGAATCCGGTTTGGAGTTACAGGCTCCTGGGTTCAGATCTTCCCTGCATCAGTTAGAAGTCACATGGCCTCAATCAAGTCACATGAGCTTGAGAGATGAGAATTTGTTCTCCCTTTGTAGGGATTTTGTAAGAATCCAACCACAAATGTATTTGAGTTCATTAATGCAGTCTTTCACACATAGGTCATTCTGTAATGGTTACTTGGTGCCTTAAAAAAAAATTATTGTTAATTCTTTCTCTGCCTTGTCACACTGAAGAATGAATCTAGCCAGTCCATCCCTCAGTGTCTCGCAGCTCCAGACAGATTTTCACTTCAGATTTGAAATGCTCTTGGGGACCCCTTTTTTCATCCAGGGAAAAGGCAGAACAAGAAGAACTCGAGAAATGAGAAATCAGAGAAATTCATTTTACGCTCTTGTATTTCCATGGACCAATCAGATTGGCCCTGTAGCCAGAAGATGGCAGCTAATACTTGAAGCACTGCTTCATGATTTCCTTTCACATCCTACAACAGAGATATCCTGTTAATTGGACTCGGAAAGCTGCCGTTGGTCTTCCTGCTGTTGATCTTTACCATTGCCTTTGAATTTTCAGTAGTTTTCTGTTCTGAACTACATGCCTTTAAATCCTGGAGTCACAGTCTGACTAACAAACATCTTAGTCAGAATACCTTGGTCCCTTGCCAGAGTTAGGGTTCAGGATAATGGCTCTCTTTTCCTCCCATGGTTGGTACCCGATGTTACTGAACAAGTCTGTGTGCTTCACCTGGCACAAAGCGCCATCTTTTTTCTCAATAGATCTGAGAAACCGACAGCTCCAGTGGCTTGCCAGCCTCTGATCCATCCAGGCCCTGGCCCCTCCTGGGTTGTTAAAACTGGGGGAGCACATCCCTTCCCTTCACTCACCACAGTGACTCAGACAGGCTCCGGCAGATTGCACACACCATGCCGTGTTAGACGTGAGAGGCTCTTTAACCCTACTGTCCCCAAATGGGCATCAGACCCAGCTGACAGCCAGGTCATCATGGTCTTCAAAATAGTACCACATGTACACTGAATGCCAGTCATGTCTGGGCACAGCTCTAAGCACCCCACATGACCCAGTACTTAACTGTCACCACACTCTAGGTGTAGATACAACTGTGTTCCCATTTACCAGATGGGATGAGGGAGGTACAGGGAGGTCCCATTTGAAAGCAGGGGGGCATTGTAGCTTCAAGCCTGTGCCTGTGCCTATGACCAATGCACTGTGGCAAAGCATGAAGGTGAGGATGAAGATGCCGCTGCTGTTGATGAGGCGGAGAATAAGGATGATGTTGGTGACGATGAGCACCATAGCAGACCACTGACCATGACCTGACACACAGAGAGGCCTTCACCTATAACTTCCCTCCGAAACCACACAGCAACCCCCTAGATAAGGACTTAGACCTATTTTACAGATGAAGCACACGGAGGTTTATAGAGGTTGTGAACATCCATGCCCGTGTCACAGATGAGTAGGAGGTCACAC